ACAGAATAGAACGAGTATATAAATATAGGATCTAGAATATAAATATATACAATGTCCCAATCCGACTAGAGTTAGAGTGTACAAACAAAATACAACCAAAGTAGCCAGATAGTGGCCCAACAACAAAACATCAACCAAACAAGACTCCTCCCTTTGCCAGCTGCAGACTTGCCACTATCACCAGTCTAACCCTGCTCTGCTCTCATACATAGTATGATCATCGCAGTCCAAGCCACATGGAAACAACAAAGGGTAAGCTAGTGAAAAGAAATAACATACATATATATAAATATATGAATAGTAAACAGCTACCCCTATCAGCACATCAAATCAACACATCAATCAGCTTAACAAAATCAGTTTAAAATACCACAACATTCAGCAATAACAGCACACATCTCACATCATCAACATACAACTCATCGATTTTACAGCATAATCAGCAATAAGCACACAATGCATCGTCACGCATATCAACTCGGAGATCTCCTACTACAACTCAGCCTTACGGCCTACAACAACTCAGCCTTACGGCCTACAACAACTCAGCCTTTCGGCCTACAACACCTCAGCCTTTCGGCCTACAACACCTTAGCTGGGGCATTGAGAGGCAATGTATCCTCTCCCTAGACACTTAAAGCATTTGATCTCACTTGTCTTCGAACTAGTGTGTGGGGTGACCTTTTTCTTTTCCACATCTTTGTCCATTTCTTGAGTTTTAGAGGGGTTTTCTTTAAAATAATTTTTAAATAAACTCCCTTCCCTCTTGGAATCTTCCTTGAAATAAGATTTAGAATTGAGATTTTTAGAAGATTTTCTAAGAAGTTGTTGTTCCACCCTTATACAAAGTTGGACCAAGTCATCAAGGTCCCCTATAAGGGAGTAACTCAACTCTATCTCTTATTTCAAAGTTTAAACCACTCAAGAAACGTGCAATAGTCAATCTCTCTTCCTCCCTTATTCCAGCCCTTATTAAATACAACTCCATTCTTTGCCTATACTCCTCCACACTCATATTCTTTTGTTAGAGTCTTTGGAGCTTATCCATAAGCTCCCTACTATAATAAGAAGGTATGTGCCTTCTTCTCATAGCACTCCTCAAATCATTCCAATAGGCTATAGGAGGATCATTATGAAGTCACCTTTCTCTTACCAAGGTTGTCCACCAATACATAGCTTGTCCTGGGAAAGCTAAGGTGGCTAATGGAACTTTTCTTTCCTCATCTACTTGATGACAAGTGAAGATTTTCTCCACTTTCATTTCCCAATCCAAGTAGGCATCTACATCCTCTTTTCCATGAAAGGAAGGGAGATCAACTCGTGATTCCCTAACCTTTGGTTCCTTAATGACTCTTCTAGGTATGGGTTGGTAATATTCATCCACATTCAAACTACCCACATCCTCTTGACTTTTGGAGCCATTGGAACTTTTATAGAGTGTAGAAATCATCTTATCCTCTCTATGAAGTTACAAACACACTCAAAACACCTTCTTGTAAAACTAGGGTTGAAAACCTTAGTGAGTGTTGCAACCATCTTTATTATCTTTGTAAGAGTTACAAACACACTCAAAACAATCATCGTCTGTAAAGCCTGAAGAGGCTAGCAAAAGAATACTTGTGAAACCAGAAGTGGTTTAAAAATACTAGCGTCAGCAAGTAAGGTTGACGAACCAGGAATGGTTGAGAATACTTGGGGAACCAGAAATGGTTTAAGAATACTAACATCAGCAAGTGAGGTTGACGAACCAGAAGTGGTTAAAGAATACTTGTAATCCGTTGTGATTAGTGGAACCCTTCAGTTGAAGGAGACTGAACGTAGCCCAGAATGAGTGAACCAGTATAAAACTTTGTGTATTGTGATTTATTTTAGAAACGTAGTTTTACTCATATTAACTCATCTCTCTGAAAAACCTTGTTCACTACTACCT